GTCTATTCTATTAACATTTCTATATCTGGAGAATGGGGCTGTTTGATGTCTTCTCCATTCAGAGGGGCCCCCTGCCTGTCTCTGTCTAGGGCCCCAAATGTCCTAAATCTGCCCCTGTCTGTGTTTTTAACAGGCTCATTATAACCACCTGCATGAATGGCTGAACCATAAATGGGACTTCATCGTAATGCAGGCAACAGAGCAGTACAAGTAAGTGACCTCTGCATGGAAACAGCTTCTTCATTAGCGTCACACATGGAGCCTTCTGCTGTCCTCATGTGGAAACATCACCAGACGAACGTCTGCTCAAACGTTAACATTTACAAACTGCTAGAACATGAGGCTCAGACTCTCATCTGGAGACAAAGGAGACATTTGGACAGTTTTCAAAAGGGGAACATTAGAAGATTCTAGAGGCCAATCTAAAAGGTCAAACTCTGTTCCGATACGCCTGAAGCTCCAGGTGATGCACCTTCATTAAACTTTAAAGCGGCTTTGGCGGCGCAGTGGTTAGCGCACACGACCCATGTATAGCGGCCTTTAGTCCTCGCCGTGGCCGACCCGGGTTTAAATTCGACCTGTGGTCATTTCCTGCATGTCTCCCCCCCTCTCTCATACATACTTTTCTATCAGCCACTAGTGCTGTAAAAACTAAAAAAAAGGTCAGTGTTTTGTTCCTTAAGTAGAAATGTTGGCTATCTGTACCTCACTGGATTATTTTTTCGTTATATTTTCTTACAATTACCTGGACTTTCTATTCCTTAAAATAGACTCGTTATTTTAGTTTCATTTAATCTCATTTTCATTCTGGCCTGTTGGTATTTAAAAACAATAAAAACCGACAAAATAATTAGTTTCATCCAGACAATTAATTTCTTTGTGCTTGGACTCGGTGCTGCCCCAACTTGTTGCTCACCACATACCGGAATAAATAGTTTTTTTCAGATGATTCAAAGTTAAATGTGACGCTGTTACCATTAGTTATAAAACCAAGAAAATGAAGTCTAAGGAAGTTATCATCCAGAATTGTAGAGAAATGTTCCTTTAATAGAGTAGAGCAGTAAAGCTCTCTGGCCTGAACAGTTTTTCTTGCATTACTTTTACTTTTATACTTTAAGTAGATTTAAAGAATTGTACTTTTACACTTTTACTGAAGTAAAAAGCTTAAGTTGATCCTCTAACTTCTATAAAATGTTTTTAAACAGCAGGATTTATACTGGAGGAATAAACTTTAATAGATTGACACCTCTGGTAGAACCTCTCTGGACAGCAGACAGAACATCAACAGCTTTACTGTTTCCTGCTTCCTAGTATGGAGTAAAAACAAATCCAACTTTTGCTCATCATTAATTTCTGCAGGTGTATTTTAAGCATCTCTAAAAGCTCTGCTGCACTGCAAAAACAATCTAGAAATAAGTAAAAGTGTCTTGAATTAAGTGTATTTACCCTTACATTGAGCAGGTAAATAAGATGATCTGCCAGGTAATATGCACTTGAAATAAAACATGCAATAGTTTTTTTCTTTTTAGTGAAAATTGTCTTGATCCATTGCCAAAGTGTCTCACTTACCTCGTAAATTCAAGAACAAATGCACTTAACTTAAAAAAATTGACTTATCTAGATTTCAGTTTTTCCAGTGTGTGGTGAACATGTCCATGCTGTGATGAGGGACAAACACCTGCTGTAGATTTCCATCAATCTGCTCACCTTTCTGCTTTTGAAGCTTTTAATATCAATAGAAATGTAAAGAAAGAGCTACCTAATAACAGAGATGTATGAACATTTATTAACATTATCTTCTGTGTCTGTTTGTTGCTGTTTTCCAGGGCAGTTAGAGACCGGAACAAGGCAGACCGGGTGGTGATGGACTGCCAGGAGAGAGCCTACTGGATGGTGAACAGGCCTCCGGTTTG